ATAAATGGGCCAAGGACCTGAACAGACACTCCTCAGAGGAGGATATATAATCAGACAACAAACATGAAAAAAAGTTCATCATCTCTAGCAATTAGAGAAATGCAAATCAAAACTACTCTAAGATTTCATCTCACTCCAGTCAGAATGGCAGCTATTATGAAGACAAACAACAATAAGTGTTGGCGAGAATATGGGAGAAAAGGTATACTCATACACTGCTGCAGGGACTGCAAATTGGTGCAGCCAATATGGAAAGCAGTATGGAGATTTCTTGGAAAACAGAATGGAACCCCATTTGACCCAGCTACGCCCCTCTTCTCGGTCTATATCCAAAGGACTTAAAAACAGCATAATACAGGGAAACAGCCACATCAATGTTTATAGCAGCACAATTCACAATAGCTCAACTGTGGAACTAACCTAGATGCCCTTCAGTAGATGAATGGATAAAAAAAATGTGGCATATATACACAATGGAATATTACTCAGCAATAGAAGAGAATAAAATCATGGCATTTGCAGGTAAATGGATGGAGTCAGAGAAGATAAAGCTAAGTGAAGTTAGCCAATCCCAGGAATACAAATGCTGAATGTTTTCTTTGATATAAGGAGACTGATTCATAGTGGGATAGGGAGAGGGAACATGGGAGGAATAGATGAACTCTAGATAGGGCAGAGGGGTGGGAGGGGAAGGGAGGTGGCATGGGGTTAGAAATGATGGTGAAATGTGATGGACATTATTATCCAAAAGTACATGTATGATGGAGACATATGCAAATCCATATGGAAATCCATATGCAACAAAATGAAATTAAAACCCTCTCTCTCACCATGCACAAAACTCAACTCATAGTGGATCAAGGACCTAGGAATTAAACCAGAGACCCTGGATATTGGTGTAAATATACTTTATATACAACCAGAGATATGAAAAATTGTGCTCTATATGTGTAATATGAATTGTAATGCATTCTGCTGTCATATATTAAAAAAAATAAAGTATATCCTGGGTGGGGTTGTGGCTCAGTGTTAGAGCACTTGCCTAGCATGTGTGAGGCACCAGGTTCAAGTCTCAGCACTGCATATAACTAAATGAATAAAATAAAGGTAAAAAAAAAAAGTTGTGTTCTATGTATGAAAACATCTTGAAATATAGAAATACATGAGATTTTCGATCACTGAATAAAGGTTATAGAGTTTCTAGAGTGTTATGCCAGTGGATAGTAATCTATGAAGAAGAGAATATTCATTGATCACTTAATAAAACAATTAAAATGTTGGAATATCCCCATTAGAGATGTGTTACATTGTACCATATTCTTGAGGTACAATTCCTAGGTTTATGATAATCTAAGAATTAATCTAGAATTTTATGGATTCTGTCCCAGTTCATCTGTGTGCCTGTTATCTGTGGAGTCTTTTGCTTATGGAGCCTCTGGGACTATAGCTGTTTCTTCAGCTTTTAGGTTTTGTTTTTAAAACAAAATTGTGTAGTATAGGTATGTAAATATCCATAATAACAATAATCTGATCCGGTGGAGAAGCAGTAGTACATTGTGTCCACTCCTGTCCTGCCACACTGTCTTACTTTGGCCTGTTGACTATCATTGCTTGTTTTAAATGGGGGGAAAAAAAAACTACCTGGAAGTTTCAAGATTGGTCCATGGTGAACATTGGATTTGCTTCCATTTCATAGTTAAATGAAGGGCTCTGTAATCACTGCTTTATGTTTCTTTCAAGTAACTAGGTATGCTTTGCAGGATTCGTACTTAAATTACGCACTTATTCAGCAAACATTTATTGAATGTTTATTTATAAACATTTATTGACTACCCCAAGCACCCCTGTAGGTACTGTGGTTGTTAGGTAAATGGACAAAATAGGTAAGATCTCTGCATTCTTTGAGCTTACCTTCTAGTGGGGAGAGGTATGTAAGTAAGTAGGTACATGCACTTACTGTTAAATGCTGTAAATAAAACAGTAATAGGGGGCTGGGGATGTGGCTCAAGCGGTAGCGTGCTTGCCTGGCATGCGTGCGGCCCGGGTTCGATCCTCAGCACCACATACAAAACAAAGATGTTGTATCCGCCGATAACTAAAAAATAAATATTAAAATTCTCTCTCTCTCTCTTTAAAAAAAAAAAAAAAAAACTTAAGACTATCAACAGTAATTCATTACTATTAAAAAAAAAAAAAAACCGTAATGGGATTGAGCAGGCTGTTTGAATGCAGTGCCTTCATTGTACATTTGTACATAAATTCTTTGAGGAACAGAATTAATGTTTTGTTATTTGTTGTTTTCCGAGTACCTAAAACAGTACATAATAGGTGCTCATTAATTATTTGTTGAGTAAATTGATTCATTGTGTAAGAACGCCATTGTTAATAAGATACACATCTTCAGCCCTCTGCTTAGATAATTAGGAGTTGCCTCAAGACATCTTAGAGATTGGGGGGGGTTTCAGATCTGTTTGGGCAGATGAGAATTCTGCATGTCTCTGCTTGGTTGAACTTCAGTCTTACATCCTTCAGTGGGTTATAGTGTGGGAGGCACAGAGCTCTGAGAAGCTGGATGCTCCTGAACGCTGTGTGTAGATAATCAGTGGGTCACACAACACTTATCACGTGGGAGGGAGGTGGTCATCAGGCATAGAGAGTTCTTTCCAATCCACCTGTGTCTAAATGGGCCTTTGTTGTGTTTTTAAAGTGAATGTTTTGAAGAAATGTTTGTGTTAGGCAAAGGGTAGAACTCTTAAAAATTACACATGACCATGCCTCATCCCCATTTTTTTCAGTTAGTTTGGAGGAAAAAGGGGGGTAGACAGAAGAGAAGTGTTTTGTGAAAGTTTTTCAGAAGTTCCCCAGGTGGAAAACTGATTATTCTTATGTAGAATAGGACTAGATCCTTATCACCCTGCACAAAAGTCAACTCAAACTAGATAAAAAACCTAGGAGTTAGAACAGAAACTACCTAACTCCTAGAAGCAAACGTAAAGTCAACACTCCAGCACATAGGCACAGGCAATGACTTTCTCAGTAGGACCCCTAAAGCTCAGGAAACAATGCCAAGAGTTAATAAATGAGATACCATCAAATTAAAAGCTTCTGCACAGCAAAGGAAATAAGAAAATGAAAGAGAGAAACCACAGAATGGCAGAGAAAGTTTTGCTACCTACTCTTCTGACAGGATTAATATACAAAATATAAGAAACACTCAAAAAACTTAACACCTATACACACACACACACACACACATACAGGGACAAATGAATTAAACAGATAACCCTCACAAGAAGAAATACAAATGGCCAACAAACTTGAAAAAAGTTCAGCATCATAAAAATTAGGGAAATGTAAATCAAAACTACACTAGGATTTCATCTCACTGCAGTCAGAATGGCAATCATCAATAATACAGTAATGTTAGAGAGGATATGGAGAAAAGGAACACTTATATACTGTTGGTGGCATTGTAAGTTAGTACAGCCACTATGGAAATCAATGTGATGTTCCTCAAGAGACTAGAAATGGAGCCACCACATGACCCAACTATACCACTCTTCAGTATTGATCCTGAAGAATTTAAGTCAATGTACTATAGTGATGGATGCATACCCATGTTTATAGCAGTACAATTCACAATAGTCAAACTATGGAACCAGCCTAGATGTCCACCAGTAGATAAATGGATAAATAAAAATGTTGTTTTATTCAACCATAAAGAATGAAATTTATGTAATTTGTTAGAAAATGTTCTAATTCCTAGGTTTTTGATCTAGTTTGAGTTGACTTTTGTGCAGGGTGATAAGGATCTAGTCTCATTCTACATATTGTTAGGCAAAATAAACCAAACTAAAAAAGTCAGTTGTCATGTTTTCTCTCCTATGTGGAAGCAGGAGAGAAAAGGTGGGGGAAATCGTTGAGGGCAGGGCATCTCATGAAAATGGAAGAGCGATCAGGAGATTAGAGGAAGGAGACCAGGGGAAGGAAAATGACACTGGGCAAATTATATTGTTATAGTGTATGCATGTACTAATATGTAATAACAAATCTTATGTACAACTATAATGCACCAATTTTTTAAAAATCATGGGAAGAAAGTTCCCATTCTCCAACTAGAAACACAATTGCATGTCCTCATTTAAATATGCATATATAATACTTGTTTAGTTGCCAATTATCTAGTGCACTTCAAAAAATTTTTGAGTTATAAGAGCCATAGGTTTCTCTTTTTAAATATTTCATTGTCATGACTTATTTCATAAATTAAGATAATGCTTTCTCTAGTGTTTAAGTGCTGAGTGACAGTAGGTAGTTGAGGATCCTTAAAGTTAACTTTTAAGTTGGGTTTTCACTGAACAGTCTTAAATTTGGTTAGAGTAGACCCCTGTCACCTAATATAAAGGAGGAAAAATGTTTTTGTTTTGAAGAGACACAAAGAAATTGTCTTTTTTGCTTTCTGGTGAGTGCTTCAGAAAGTTCCTGGGTGTTCACAGTTGTCTTAACCCTGTTTTAGAGAACTGATGAGCAGTGAAGTGTTACATTCACTGGGCAACAGTGTCCCCTGGGGTACACCTTACATTTCCATTTTGGAAACTTCTAGCACACCTGGGCAAACACCTTTGTCAGCCTTTGTGTGTGAAACACAGCAAAGGTAGGTTATGATTGTGTCCGAATGCTGCTTCAGCAGAACATGAAACCTTATTTGAAAGCTGTTTGACTAAGTTTTGCGGTTAATGAGCATCCTGACAGTACATTTAATCTGCTTGTAGGTTACATTATTAGTCAGAGGCAGGACTAAAGTAAACTCTCAGTTAAATATTACCTTAATTGATATCATTTTGTTTTTAATTACTTGAGTACTCAAGGCCACAGAGGGAAGAACATTGCTTACGTATATTTTATAGTTTAATCTCTTAGAATGTGCTATTCTCTGTTGTTTAATAAAAGTTTCAAAACTGTAAACATTCTTAAAAGATATATATCTTTTTTTAAACTAGTGTTCAGAATCAAGTGGATGAAGTTATCGATGTCATGCAAGAAAATATTACAAAGGTAATTGAAAGAGGGGAGAGACTAGATGAACTACAGGACAAATCAGGTACAGATACTTCATATTTCTTGATATTATTGATCTGTTTTACCAATTTTTGTCTTCCTTCTCTTGTCTAGCCAGCATTTAGGAATTTTGGCTTAGGAAATTAGTATTTGATTCTTAGATGTATGACCAGTATAGTTTAATTTTCACTCCCTTTACTTTGAATCCTCTTATTGTATTATTTCCTTACTGTTCAGTTGAGAATAGAGAATTTAAAATTCTTATTGAAGTGTGAAGAGTAGAACTACGTTTTCCTTTTGCCCCATTATGTGGATTTTGTTTCTCATGATCTCAAGACATAAAGATCTGATTACTTTTTTCCAAAACTTTTCCAAACTTATCTGATAGTTTTATTTTATGGTAACTTTAGTAACTTTTCTTTACTGACGATGTTACCTCTGTACTAACAGTTCCTGGCACTCACTAGGCACTCAGATACTGTTTGATGACTAGCAGAATACCTGGTAACTTATGAGTTCTCTGGTAACTTAGTGACTTTCTTTACTGGCAGATGTCAGTCTTTGCGCTTCTAACAGTTCCTGGCACACGTTAGTCCCTCACATTGTTTGAATGGTGAACGGCTGAATACCTGATTAATTCTCGACAGACTTGCTTGACCAAAAGACTTGCTTGACAAGAGACTTGCTTAATTGCTTTAAAAGTTCATAACATTTTCTTTCAAAATCAGTCAGTTTTCTAAAAATCTAACTTTCTTCACTTGTAATTTTTTCTTAGCAATGTACCGAGTTTTTGTTGTTGTTGTTTTGTTGTGATTTTTCTGGTTCTAGGGATTGAACCTAGGGCCTTATGCATGCAAAGCAGGTGGGTGCTCTACCACTGAGCTATTAGACCCAGTGCCCAGTATTTGTTTTTTTAAGGACTATTTTCTCACCAGCATTTATAAGTTTTTTTAATATGCATCCAGCCCCTGGGAATGCGTCTCTCATATCACAGTGAAAATGAACTGAGCTAACTGACCTGCAGCTGTGTTTTGCTTTTTAGTTTTAACTAGGGAGAATGGTGGAATTTGTGGGTGGAGGATGTTTTCATGCTTAAGAGGGAACAAATTTACAGAAGTAGAAATTAATATTTTCTTGTCTTTGTGTGACTAGATAAAAGAATCCTGTTATGTCGTTTAATCCTTCTCTCCATCCTCTGTGTGATATAGAAAGCTTATCGGATAATGCAACTGCTTTTAGCAACAGAGCCAAACAACTTCGAAGGCAAATGTGGTGGCGTGGATGCAAAGTAAGTGAATCAGAAGACACTGGGCAGACTGGCTAGACTCTCAAGGGGTAGTCCACGACAGGAAGGAAAGGGGCCTGTACAGGATGAGCTCCGTGAGGACAGGGGCTGAAACCGTCTTGCTTATTATTGTTACGTCTCCTGAACCTGGGTGTGGAAGGAGCTGGGTAAATATTTGTTGAATTAATGAATTCTTTTGGGGCAAGAATCAAGGAATCAAGTAGTGCCTAAAAGAATGTTTTTAAAGGGGTTTATCAGGCCAGACGTGGTGGTACACTTCTGTAATCCTAGCAGCTCGGAAGGTGGAGCAGGAGGATCCCGAGTTCAAAGCCAGCCTCAGCAAAAGTGAGGTGCTAAGCAACTCAGACCCCGTCTCTAAATAAAATACAAAATAGAGCTAGGGATGTGGCTCAGTTGACCAAGTGCCCCTGTGTTCAATCCCCAGTACCCCCCCCCCCCAAAAAAAAAAGTGGTGTTTTTCAAAATCTCTTACAGCAAATGGAATTAAGAAAAATCCCATATCCCTCATTATTCCAGAGAAATAAGGAAATTTTCTTAAATGTTCAACCATGTCCTGGGAAGCAGCTTGAGACTAGAAGTCCAACAACCTGTTTTGTTTGCAGTTCTTCCACTTAACAAGCATGACCCCTTTGACCCCAGCACCTTACCTGTAAAATGGGACACTGATGACTTATTCTTAAAATGGGACATGATGAGCATGGCCATGACTTCCTCCCTCCGTGAATAAACAAATAACATAAATAATAACAAAATTTTAACAAGTAAAAAAACCAGAATCACTATATGCTACTATATTCCTGCAGAACATTTTATAGAAATGAATTTACCTCATAGTCAGGAATGGCTAGTAATCAGAAAACTCTTGTTCATTGAGGTGTTTAAAAATCAGTACCAATATTTTCATTTAAATTTTTTCAAAAGTTAATTAAGTCTAGCTTTATATTAACAGGGCAAAATAATGTGCATTTTGGGCAAAGTGGAAAAACTACCATAAAAGTCCAGAAATTTTTCAGGTTAAATAAAGGATTAAAGAACTTTAGTTTGGGGCTGGGGTTGTAGCTCACAGGTACAGTGTTTGCGTAGCACATGTGAGGTACTGGATTCAATCCTTAGCACCACATAAATGTAAATAAATAAATTATTGTGTCCATCTTCAATTTAAAAACATATTTTTTAAAAAAGAACTTTAGTTTTTAGTATAATGTGGGCCCTACTGAAAATATAACTCCTATTTCCGTTAGTTCTGAGTCTATTTTTTTATTATTATTATAATGAATAATTTTTATAGGACTGATGTCCAAATTACTGAACCACTAGTTGTGGTCTAGTCAGTTGTCAGTTAACTCCAATAAGAAGGGGCCATCCTAGTGCGCGTGAATAAAATCCACAGGAACTGCCCTGGGTCATTTTGTTAACTGTCATGAATGGAATGCCATAGACATGTCACCATTAATTCTACTTTTAGAAACATTAACTATCACTGTTTCTATTTGTGATACTCATTAGATTTTTATCTGTTTATAATAACTGGGTATCTTCTTTCTGAATGAACCATTTTTAATCAACTATTTATAAAAATGATGAAAAAAATAAATTTCAGCAGTGAATTGAAATTTATAATTTATGCATTTTAGGATTAAATGATGAACATGACAGTTTTATATAGAAAGATAACATAAACTTCAAATGTCAAGTAGCTGACAGGAAACTGACTTAAGGTTTCTTCTCTTGAATATAAAACTGATACCAAATAATCTTAGGCAACTTACTAAGTGAGGCTGTTTGTGACGAATCCAAAATATATTCCTTGAGATGGAAATTAAGGCACCATGAAGAAAGAGGGAAGAGAACACTAACATTGCTCTCCTGTACTTTCAGAATATGTACTATAAATATGCTGCTTTTCAGAATTCCAGTTACCCACAGCCAGCTATGGTCCAAAAATGTTAAAAATTGTCTCTTTCAAGAGAGAGACTGAATTCCCATGACTTTTACTCCAAATATATTGTTATAGTTCTGTTTTATTATTAGTTGTTGATCTCTTACTGTACTAATTTGTAAACTTTATCTTACGTATTCATGTTTAGGGAAAAACCTAATATATATAGGATTGGGTACTCTCCATGGTTTCAGGTGTCCATTGGGATCACATTCATAAGAACATATTCCCCTCCATCAGAGAAGACCTCTGTGTATTGACTGCCCTTGCTAACCATCACATCCTGACACTTGGACAGAGTTGCTATCATATACTTTTCCTGGCCTCAGAGACAAATATGTGAAACATAGACAGAGGGTCCAGACCCACGAAGGTGTTACTGTATCTTACAGTACAGCCTTGAATGGCATAAAGTCCAGTGAGGCAAAGCACTTGGATTTTGGGGAACTCAAAATATTATTTATGAAAGAATGCAAAGCGGCCGTCAAGTTCATATGAGAAACAAATTGAAACCTTTCAAGGAGTGTACCTGTTCATTAATGAGTTAGAGTAACATGGCAGATAGCAAAACAGATAGTCCTTACTTTAGGCTTTATAAATGAGTCAGACAATGTCTTTCATGTGTCTTTTTTGTGTGTTGTAGATAAAAGCCATCATGGCTTTGGTTGCTGCTATCCTTTTGCTAGTGATTATCAGTAAGTATTTACTGGATTGTTACTTCTTGGGGTTATTATGTGTTTGGGAGGTCATTTAATTCCCTTTTAATTATTTTCAGTTAACCTAGAATGTAATGTCAGGACTGAATGACTTGCTTAACTAAGTCAGGAGCCCTTATCTATGATCTTTAAAATGTTCTAATGGTTTGTGAAATTTTTTGAGAATATGCAGATGTACATTTCTACAGGGAAAGAGGCAGATTCTCAAAAGGAAGCCCTCTCTGACCCCTCATCACCACTCTCAAATAAAGGCTAAGTGACTTGTTCAAGGCCAGGACTGGCTCCTGTTCACTGAGGATGAAATCTTCATCTTCTGTTTATTGTTAGCTTCCAGGTGCGTCGGTTAGCAGCCAGCATGTTGTTTTAGAAGGACAGATCCAGTGAAATTCTCTAGATGATGTGTCTTTAGTTTTATTTGGTTGTGGATTTGAACTGAACTACAGTCCTTAAAACATAACTCCTTTATTTCCTTTTTTCCTTAATATTATTTTTAAAGATCAAGTCATTTTTAGTATCTGAGTTTCTTAAAGCCCTCTTTACCCATGTTATACAGAGATTTTATTAAGTAGGTCTTGAAAGTGCCTCAGAATAATCATGTGAAAATGTTTATGAGGTTATTTTTTGTTACTAAGAAAAGTTGTCTCATCTGGCCTGGCGGTGCAGACCTGTAATCCCAGCTGAGGAGGGAGGCTGAGGCAGGAGGATCAAGTTCAAAGCCTCAACAATTTAGGCCCTCAGCAACTTAGTGAGACCCTGTCTCAAGATAAAAAGGGATGAGGACATAGGTCATTGGTAAAGTGCCTGGGGTTCAATCCCCAGGACCAAAAAAGAGAGTACAGTTGTCTGTTTAGTTGTAGGTTTTCGGTTTGTGAAATAAGATAGAACTTATTTCTGATTCCCAAATCACTTCTGATGTTGCTCTTACAGTCATTAGCAGATGCGTTCTTTGAATCTCCTGCATGCAGGTTTCCAACTGAGGTCAGACAAAGCCATCTCTGCCCCCTCCTTTCAGCTCTCTTACATAAATAAGTAGGGTTTCTATAGTCTACAAATCCCTGTTTTTCCCTTTTTTGTACTTTTGGTGATTTCCTAGTTTTCAATGCCCGTGGCCACAGTTCTCAAGTGTGCTCTAATGCAGTAAGTTTAGGAAGGCCAGGCTGTGCCCGAAGAGAAAGCCATGTGTTGGGCAGGCTTTGTTCAGCATGAGCTGGTGCTGTCAGCCTTGAGTTCAGTGTCATTTGAACCAAAAGTACATATTAAATGTCTTTAAACAGAAACACAGAAAACAGGGTTATGTATTAATAGGTTGACAAGAATGGGTTCCTTAAAGGAAAGAAATTAAACAGACTTAGAAGATGAGGGGAAGAAGGCACAGGCACACAGTTTTGGAAAAAGAAGACTAGACCTATACTGAAGATGGGAAGAAGACAATGAACTGCTATGAAGGCTTTCTAACAGAGAAAGAAAATTTCTTTTGTTGTTAATCTAGTTGTTAAAAGGGGTAGCTGTAACTTTCCTAGATTAATATACCACAGTGGATCTAAGCATCAGGTACATCCACAAGAAATTAATTTTAAAAATGCTATGGTTAAATGGTAGAAAGATTAGTAGAGGAAAGGGAACAGAAGATGGGAGAGGGAAGGAAAAGGGGAGGTACCGGGAGGCTGAATTGGAACAAGACATATTCCATGTTTTCACAATTACGTCAAAACGGATTCTACTGTCATGTATAACTAAAAAGAATGAATAAAAAGAGAGGGGTAGCTACAAAAAAAAAGAATGTCCTAGCCAGAGGCTCATGAGAACTTGGGACTGTGTTTTCCCTAGGAGCTGTGATTCGTATTCACAAATTTAGTGTTTATGGTAACTTTATAGAACTTTATATCACTGTATCAAATAACAAGATCAACCGCATGTGGTGTCAAAGTGGAAAATAAGGAATAGCGTAAAGAAGAAAATAAAATAATCTTACCATACAGAGATAGCTACTCATTAATAAAACTGCAGTGTAGTTTCTAGTCTTTTCCTATTATATATAAACATGTTTTTCAGAAACAGATCATATTGTATATATTTCTTAATAAATATATTGTGAACATTTTCTCATGTTATTAAATATGTTTATCATATTTTGGCAGTGACATGCTGTTATGCCATAATTTGATCAAAATGCCTGTGTTAGATATTTGAGTTATTTTGTGATATTCTCGTATTTTTTTTCCTTGTTTTTAAGTTGTATAAAGTCCAGCCCTTGTTATCCCTTTCTAACTACATAACTACATTTAGGAATATTGCTTCTATATGAATCTGATTTTGACTTCTTTTTTCATTTTCTTTCTCTTACAGTTCTTATAGTTGTGAAGTACCATACTTGATTTGATGACAGAGATCTTCATTAAACAAGATCTGGGACAATAATAATTAAAAGATTGCTGTATAATTTAAATGGAATATATGTATATAACTTTCAAAACTTCTTTTCCAAGAAACTAAGAGTCAAGTATCACTTCAAATTGGAACATTGAGAATGTTCAGTTAACTGCTTCCTTTCTAACAAAATGTGCTTATGATAATTATGTTTAACACAAAGATAACTTTACGTTGCTATATTCCAAGGTCTAATTTGAAACTAGATACTTGCCAGTTCATTATTTGTGTATATAGTTAAATACTGATGGCAGTGTTTCATACCAGTGTTTTAGTGGCACAAGGACTTGTATTATTGCATGGAGATGGGGTCAGTCTGGGGTCAGGAAGCCTGTGTAGCATACCAGACTATTAAGCTAAGAGATGCACAACCACAACATTTGCAAGAATATCATTCTTTTCATTTTACGGTTGCTTTGAAGCAGTTTCCACATGTTTATGGGTGTAACAAAAGCTAAATGTTGTCAATGTTTCTGCCTTCAGCTATAACTAAGAACATTCCAGTAAACCCACTTCTAATTGTACAAGGAAATGGATTATAGAAATGGGAAATTCAAACAGAAAAAAGGCCTAGTATAGCACCATAATCTGGAGACAATAAAATTATTGGAGAATGTTGTTGACATGTTTGAAAGTGACCAGTTCTCATAGCTACCAGTTGTGGTCTAGTCAGTTGTCAGTTAACTCCAATAAGAAGGGACCAGTCCTAGTGTGTGTGAATAAAATCCACAGGTAACTTTTTCCTTAATTTTACTTTGGTTAGTAGTTTTTCTCTTTGACTTTAACCTTTTTGCCTGAAATGCTAAGGTGAGCCCAGTCAGCTGTTCGGATTTCCTGTCTGTGTTCTGATCCTCCTCACAGGAGCAGATGTTGCACAGTCTAGTCAGAAGAGCCGACGGGAGTGAGTAGTAAAACTTAGGGGCGTAGGCCCTTCTGTAGACGACCAGTCAGCAGCCTAACGCTACGGGGTCACCGTTAATCTCAGCGTGTTTTTATAACGATAAAGTACATTAATTTAAAAATGCACCAACCTCCTTGTACTGTTCAAACAAGTGAAGATGCAGAATAAGCGTGTGAGGAGGAAGCATTGTGATAAAACCAGATTCTTCAGGAACTTGTGCACATGGACATCCTAGGTTGGAGGGGGCAGAAATAGGCTCCTGGAATTCACCAATATTTAAGAGAGTTAATGAACAATCCAGTTTAACAGATTTCATTTCTTTGATCATTTTAATTTAAAATGTCCAAAACATAGAATTTGAATGTGTTTGCTTGATTAATTCTACATTATTAGTACCAAGAGGCAAAATGTTCTATTTAGAATAGAAAGAAATTTGGAGAAAGTGGGTCAAAAAATACTTAGGACACTTAAATTATAAAGATCTAAATAGCTAAATTTTATAATGTGCTTAAAGCATTGGAAGAGATCTAGGCCTTACATACCAAGGGTGAAGTTTCTGATATCCGTCACCTTCTCTAGGTGCCAGTTATACAAATAGCATCTGAACTGCTAGTAAATCCTGTGACAAAGGAGGGTATGCAAAAAAAAAATGAGCACTTTTAGACTTTCAGTAGCTAATAGTTCAGGAATGGAAATGTTTTAACTGAATTGGCAGAATCAATCCTGATGTATGTATGTATTTTATTTAGTTTGGAACAAACTTATAAATGGTTAATTTTCCATTAGTTGGTGTGGAAATCTGGTTTCTTTAAAATATATATTGGCAAAGGTGAAGATTATTTCTTAAAGACTCCACATTTCTAGTGTTTCTCTTAGTAAAAGTCTGCCACTTTCAAAGACATAATTATTTAAAAAGTAAAATTATTTTTAAAATTTTTAATCATAAAAATAAAGGAACTATTTATATGGCATTATTGTACATATGCAGTTGTGTTTGTATTTAAATATGTTGCTGCTGGGAATACTGGAGGTGGACAGGTGACTCTGGGAACTTTGCAGTAGTGGTGGCTTGGTTCACAGCTTATCATTTTGTCTGTCCTGGTGTTGATTAATCCTGAGACCCTTAAACGGGCTGGCACTTTTGTGACAATATTGTGGTAACACTGGAGACAGCTGTTTTAAGATCAAGAAGCAGAGTGGTTCACATTGATGCCACATCTACGTCATTCCTCCCTTAATCACTCTTTTTCTCATTCAGCTCAGATCATCCTGCACTGGAAAAAATGAAGTTTACCTCCAAAACTGTCAGGATTTAACAACAGTGAAGAGAACACAGAAATTCAAATAGCTTTGTAAATAGTGGTTGGTACTGGGTGAAATCAGGTCACTGTTTTTATGTGTGAAACTTGCCCTCGTGACTTGTGTTTAACTGCAGAGACCTCGTCTTGCAGCAATTTTGAGATTATAATACTAACTGGTCCTCCTCCTGATTGTCGGTCAGTAATACAGATGGGCTTTTGCTCCCCTCTTCTAACAAAGCTCACTAGAAAATGCCCTGAGATGTTATAAACAGGGAGATTTCTTTATTAAAGGGAAGTTCAATATCAAAGCTAGAACATTGCCTACAACGGAGGGAGGCTAACTAGTACACCCTCGCGATAGCTCCCTGTGGACTCCTGCTGGTGTAGTCTTTCTGTGCATTTCTGTACGCTGCGTTAGGAAATTATAATGTTGCCATTTTTATTACACAAATTGGCATCTTTGAGTCCTGTGTGGCATGCGGGTGTCCTGTGGCTGCTTCTGTGAGCATGGACTGAGGTCTCTGTTGCCAGCACCTTCTTTAGCGGGCTCCATGTGCTGTCACCACCCTGGCTCTGTGTCCACATCTGGAGCTACACTGTGGTGAAAATATGCAAGAAATTGTCTTTCCACATTGGGAACATGTGCCACTAGGTGTCTCTAATTGTGTCGTGTCAGAGTATCGCTCAGTCCAGGGTTGTTCTGTTCGTCTAATTTTGTCTTCACGTGGAAACGTCTTGGGGCCTGTGACCCGGGAGTCAGTATGAACACATTTGAGAACGCTGTGTGGTGTTGACATCAGTGCAGGAAATCGCCACAAAGCAATTTAAAGACACCGTGGCTCATCAGAGACTGACAGGTGCTGTACACCTTGATCCCTACGTAGTTGTTTTTTTACGTGCCATAGACAAACTGGCACCAGCCCTTAGACAGATGCAGGGTATGGGTGGGGTTTTTTTGTTTTTTGTTTTGTTTTTGAGATGGGGTCTTGCTGTGTTGCCCACACTAGACTCAAACTCCTGGCCCCCAGGAATCCTTTAGACTGAGCCTCCAGAGTAGCCAGGACTGTAGGCATGTGCCACCATACCTGGCTTTTTAAGTTTAATGTTAGTCTTACTCGATCTTTGTTTTTGTTTTTCCTGTCCCCCCCCAAAAAAAAAAAAATCAATTAGAATGAGGGATATGGACATAAACTCTTTGATTCTGAGTGTGAGGAACACATGGGTAGAAATTAAAAGGAAAGCATGACTGACCCGGTTTTAGGGGATACACATAAGCTAGAGAGCAAGGACTACACCATGCTCCCGTGTCTCCCCAGCTCCCTGCACAGAGCTGCGTGCTCAGCAGGGGCTAGATAAGTGTGCATTGCTTGAAAGTCACAAAAACACCAGTGTAAGAGCCGACTGCCACACTGTTCCCTGGAGAGGGGACATGGTTGACAAAAGAGTGGGACCTTCAGCTTTACCTAGAGAGTATAGTTCTTATACTAACTCAGTATAGAAAATTCTGATTTTACAATATGCATTAGGTTCTTTTCATTTGAAGAGGTCATGAAATCAAGTCACATATTAATTACTTTAGGGCTACAAAGTAAATTGCATAAATCAGAGATTTTAGTAAAATGTCAAAAAACAAACAAAATTCAAGCACTTGATTTTATGTCTTGGGTATATGTCTTCTTTTTACCTTCCACATTCCTTCACTCAACTGTTTGCTAAGTGCCTTTGACATTTTAGATGTATGCTGGGAGTTGACAAATGTAAACGTCGTGTGCCCTGGTCTTCAGCTTCTTGATTCCTTATAACCATTTTTTACCAGTGTTGCCAAGTTTGGTCCTTTGTGTGCATATAAGATATGTATTTGTAGCCTCTCCATAGTAAACAGTGAAATAAACTATTTCATAGAAAATGAAAATTAAGCATTTTGGCTTTTCAGTATGTGTCACCTGTTGCCTAAATTTTAAAGCACAGTTTATTTAGAGTAACATCTGCATAATCACCCCTGGTTTAGTTCATCCCAATTTGCCAATAAAATACATGGAGGAAAATTAAGAAAAAGAAAAGGTATTCCTTCACCAAAAACTATGCCAGTGTACAACCTAATGATGAAATGGAGAATTTCTCAGTGTGAAGTCACCGAGTCTCAGTCGCGGGGGCGGGCAGGGAGAATCGGTGGAACGCTCATGCTTCATCTCCTGACGTCTATTTGAAAGACAAATTAATCTGTGTCCCAAGCAGAAAACTTGGCACCTTTCCCTCAGCTTCATGGTGCTGCTCTCACAATAATGTGGAAATCGCACATTCCCTGCAGACTCCCTCTTTCCACACACTAAACTATGTCTTCTTGATAATTTTTAAAAGCATAGGAGGATGATATTGGGGCACCTGTACCCTGAGATGTACAGTCTCTCCCGGGGCTCTCGGCAGGACTGGAGACAGGAGGCACCCTGGTAAGTGCATCCTGAGGGTGTATTAAGTAAAGTCCGCCCCTTGGCATGCGGAGAAGCAGCAGTACCAGATCCCCTGCAGCCAGCAGTCACACCTCGTGAGTGTCCATTAGATGCTCAAAACTGCTATGGAGCAGGGAACAGCCGTGGGTGTGAGGATCTGAACGAGTAGCCAAACGCAGAGCTGAGCAGCGCCAGGGCGGCACCGTGCCCTGTTATGCAATGGGCCAGACCCCGGCTGAGGGTGTGTGAAAAGGTGCACACCAGGAGGGCCAGCACCTCCGGATCGTGCCAGGTATGTGCAGACTGGCTGCTCTTTATTCCCTCCTTAACTCCCCTCATGCCGTGTCGGCTTCGCCCTGGGTCTCTGTTCCTCTTTGTAGGGGTGGTCCTTGGCCTGTTGATCCCAGCTGCTTACAGTTCTTAGCTCATTCTCGTACTTTAATATACAGCCAGGTCATGCCATTCCTTTGCTTGGTCTCCCCGGTGGAAAAGCTGAAGGTGTGATGTTGTGCACCTGAGGTCCCAGCACCCAGAAGGCCGAGGCAGGAGGGTCATGTGGGCTCTCCAGTGTGAGACCAGCTGGGCAACACAGTGAGATCCCGGGAGAAAGGAAAAACCTGCCACGTCTTCACACCTTCCCTAGAATGAAAGCCACGGCCCTTCTGCAGCGTGTGGGTCTCGGGTCTTCCTGAAGCCCTTTGTGATCTCTGAGCCTGTCCCCTGGCTGGGCTGTGCTGCGCTGGCTTCACTGCCCTCAGACACCAGTGTGCTTCCGCCTCAAGGCCTCACTTGTCATGCCTTGGACGGTTTCCCTGAATGCCTTCATGACTTGGTCAGACTTCGCCTCTGCTGACTCCCAGGAGTGCACCCTGCAGGCCCTCCCCGCCACCTTCCCAGAACATTTAACCCTTCTGACACTTGACACTAAGGGTGAGCTTCATGACAAGAGGGACCTGTCTTGTTCTCTGACGGCAAGTGTCATAATGAGTGCTCAGGCAATTCAGTGAATGGGTCGGTTATCTGAGATACAAAGGGAGACCATGATTTTGAAAATGATGTACTGCGAGAACCAAATCGACTTGGCGTGCATCAGCACCTGCAGTGAGATTAAAAGCACGGCCTCCATAACTCAAGAAGTCACAGAAAAGCAAAGGTCAAGCACGATTAATGCATCTGGAAGACAATTTAGGTCCAAGAAAAGAAGGACAAGGTAAAATAATTTGCCAGGAGGCAGGTTGCACAAATACTAAGCCCTTCACTGAAGCAGTAAGTGGTGGAATTCCCTGAAGAAAACCAGTGATGGAGAAGAGAGGCTCAGGAGGCTGCCCCAGAGCAGAGGGGAGGTCACCCCGTAAATGAAGAGGGTGAGGACGGAGCTAGGAGGGGAGAAAAAGAAGAAGATAACAAGAATCACATGGTGCCCCCCCAAATAGAATGAGCATCGTGGTTTTTTTTTTCTTATTAAAACTCAAAGTCCTATGAGACCAAAAGCCTTTGTCAAATATAAGAACAGATGAAGATGCGTTGTAGGCTGAGGGCACAGCTCTGCAGAGCGTTTGCCTGCCATGCATGGGGCCTGGAGACCAATCCCCAGCACCAAGGGGAAAATCCTATGAGCACTGAGGCTGGAAAAACTGGTTACCTGCAAGGAAGCAAAAATTAGGTGTCTCCGTCTTCTCCATCACCAAACTGCAGACACGAACAGCATGTGTAGACTTCCATCCCTAGCCAGTTATCACACAAGAGAATCAAACACAATATTCTTAAAAACATGAGGGTTCAGAAAATATGACATCCTGCCTCTTTCCTTAAAGAAAAATTACTGGAAATTTACATAGTACAGTCAGCCAAGAGAGAAATTGAAACTGAGTGTTAATAAAATCAGATCATCTCATTCTTAAAACCCTGTGATGGATTCTCATTGCCCTTACAGTAAAACCAGACTCCTGTCTTCCTTGGTCCCGCCAATTGTCACCAGCTTGGTGCATTAGGTCACAGCTCAAACAATTTAAAAAGTTTAATAAAAGTGTGGGTAGGACCTAAACTACAAGGAACAGTGTGTCTCCTGGGCTTGAAGGGATGTGGGAAGGGAGCGGTCACCAAGGTGGAGGGAGAAGATTTGTGGGCAGGAAACAGACACCTGACCTCTTCTTTCTTCCTTATGATCTGATTCTAGGACTCCCCGTTTTTAAGCCAAACTAGAAGCCAAGAGGGAAGGAATCCGAGTGATCTGTGTGATCCATGCCGTCACATTCTAAAAGGGTCAGAAGTGCATCTGGTGCCCAGACACCATTCCCACTATAGATGCTGTGGAAGTTGAATGTTGGCTGCTAACGGCTCACAGCTGCCCCCTTCTCTGGAGAACTGCTCTCAGCCAAAGGGAACATTTCACCTAGGAACTATACTCATCCCCTGGGGGTACCCTGGAGCCAAAGACTGGCTGATGCTGGGACCCAAAGACTATGACCCCCTTGTCTCAAGGTGGATCAACTCATGTTGTACAAGCTTTAGAGGCTGAAAACACACACACACACACATACACACACACACGCACACACCCTAGACTACCTAGATAACCACATCCTTGCTTGGCTATTTCCCTCCTTATCCTGCATCCCTTAATCCCTTAGAGATGTTGAGCCCTCCCCCAAAAAATCACACATCCCTGCATCCCTGTATCAGACTATTCCTAAGGAACTGCAGGTGGTTGGTACCAGAGGTGGTCCTAGAAAACCAGACCGAGACTCTGGAGCTCATGGCCCTCTGCTGGGAGTCGTAAGGACGGCATCGCTGGCTGGTGTGGTTTGAATATCAAGTGCCCCCTAAGCTCCTGTTCAGAGGCGAGATGATTAGATGTGAGCGCGCAGCCTAATGCGTCCCTCCTAGTTTGAATGGAGTGAGGGTGGCAACTGTGGGCAGGAGGGGTGTGGCTGGAGGAGGAGGGTCCTGGGGTGTCTCAGCAGGGTGCATCTTCTCTGAGGCCCCTCCCCACTTCCTGATCCACCTTGAGCCGAGCAGCTCTTCTCCACTGGGCCCTTCCCCCACGATGCGCTGCCTCACCTGGGCCCAGAGCAAGGAGTCGGCCTTCTGTGGACTGAGACCTCTGGGCCCATGAGCCCCAGAGGAGCTTGTCCTCCTCCTAGTTGTTCCTGTGAGGTATTTTGGTCAGAGGGACATGAAAGCTGACACTGGTGGTGAGTGGAGTACTGATACCAGTGGCCCCTGACCCACAAATGTTCACCTCCAGTGCAGAGGGAGGTCCCAAGGGGAGGGGATGCCGAAGAGCAAGCCCAGAGCTGGCGCTTGGCAGGAACGGGAAACACAGTAATTGTAAGGACTTGGGAAGAGGTGGCTGCTGCCAACACCAGAGCTTTGAAAAAAGAAAGTGACAGGTGCAGGCCATTATCAGGAATCGAAAGCAAAATGTGAGAATTAGAAAAACTCACTGGAAGTATTTAAAGAGACCTTCGTTCCCTGAAGCTGGAGAACAGGCAGCGCTGTAGGCCAGACCCAGACTCGAGCGTAGGGCAGCTGACTTTGGAAAAGGACGCCCTCTCAACCTCGGGGGTCCCCTCTGCCAGGTTCCAGGCCCCGGTTGGAGGGAACAGTGCCTAGAGATGAGATGGGGGTGTCTGGGTAGATGCACCTGAGAATCTTGAATCCTCAGATTCCCCGGAGCCCTCTGGCCTGCAGAAGAGAATCCCCTGGTTGAAAGGTAAAGTCCTGTTTCCCCTTCAAGGTTTAAAGCCATGCCATGGCCTCAAACAAGGCCAGAGCCTTCCAAGATAATGCTGGCCCACCTTGAGACCAGCCCCAGCTCCCTGCCTGGCCGCCAGCCCCACACCCACTGGAATCAAGGCTGGGAGTTCACAGTTTGCTGGCACTTGCACAGATGGTGGGTGACAGAGGGGAGGCAGGAGCCACCAATCAGTTCCCTTCAACTTACACAACACTCCAGGTTGATGTGGCCGCAGGGCCGTGCTGTGCGGGGCAGTGGGCAGAGGCCGCGGGAGCCTGATCTGAGAGACTGCTGGTTCTTCCCAACGCCGGTGTCATGGCAACCCTGTTGCCCATCAGCCACTTGCTGCAGATGTTCCTCATTTCCCAGCCCTAAGTCTCCCTTCTGAATCGACTCAGACCCCGGTAAGAGCACGTTTGATCACCTTGGCTCCCAGCCCAAACCTGACACACAGTGGGTGCTTTACATGTGTTACATTGGTTAATTATTTAATCATCACAAAAATAAATATCCTGAGGCTGTACCTCTACTTGTCACTTATTTATCCAGTCACAAATAATTATCGACCCCCCCGCCCCCACTTGCCAGATGCTCTCTCTCCTCTCCTGAGCTCCTCTTTGTCATTTCTCCTTTCCCCTTGTCACTGAATCAAGGATGACAATGGTGGCAACTGTCATCAATGCCAAGGTGCAGAGCAAATACAACCCTAACCCACCCCCTGCTCTCAATCTCTTCCTGCTTTCGGCCCTCATATACCCATATCATTGGCAAGTTTGTCCTCTTAGTCCCCCTCCTTGGGGTGGCCTGCAGAATTCTATAAAGATGTCCTTCTTTATAGAACGCAGTCATCAGCTAAAAGCATTAAAAGCACTCACCCAAGGCAGGGTCATAGCCCAAATCTTAAAACTGGCACAGCAAGGAGTGGGGAGAACTGGGCATGGGCCCCGGGGTCCCTCGGGGGTCCAGGGCAGCCACTGTCTACCGAGAGAAGGCCCTCGTTCCATAATTTAAAATCAGTACAGCTTGCTCTCGTCTACCCACAGCGGACATGAGCCCAGGCAAGGTCCTACTGCCATCCCAAGGGTCCCTCACTCTGTGCTGAGAGGACCAGCGGAGTGGTGGCACTCACAGTGCAGCCAGCTTCCAGGTGGGACTCCCTCCATGGCCACCTCCCCAACTCTGGCTCCTCCAGCAGCACAAGCCAGAAGCAGGTGTCACTGACGGGCCCCAGGAACCCCAGAGGAGGGCAGAGGAGGAGAGCAGAAATGACGGAGGAGGAGCTGGAGTCCACCCTCCCTCGGGAGCGGGGTAGTCGCTCGGTTTGGTTTTAAGCATGGACACTCCCACGAGCAGCACGAGGACCTGTGGCGGGAAGACCCGAGCTCACCTGCCAGATGACCCGAGCTATCCTGACAGCCCGCTTATCCGGAGTCTCGTGTTTTCCCCTGAAACGTGTAGGACCATGACCTCAGGAGACCCTGCTGTCACTGCAATAAAGCTGACCCAGTGTCAAGCTGGCTGTGCTGAGGGCCTCACTGCAGTGAAATATTTGCTGAATGTCTGTGCAAAATGGGTGTGGCCCTCATCAAGTCTAAGTGCAGTATGAGGAAGCCTGAAGTGTCACTAATCACTGAATAACATCTTTTCTCCAAGTCTGTTCTGGAAATAAATCCTGTTTTGTCTGATGGGCGTGTACTTTTCACAAAGCCAAGTCAGTATTAATTGCTACCAGAGATGCTTGTGGATAGGGAAGTTAATCTTTGGAATAACTGGAACCAGAAAACCCAAGATTTTGATGAAAAACCTTCAAATCCCCCCACTTGGCCCCTCTGCTCCGCCTCCTCCCTGGTCCCAAGCCAGCAGCGCAGAGGGAGCATCGGGGTCGGCTGATTCCACACCCTTCCAAGCGCGGGGACACAGCACATGCCCGTCCCCCTCTCCCTTGCCTTACTCGTCATCCTGTCCCTCCTTCCCATCACCTTCAAAGCCACCATCATCGTATCATCACTAACACAGTCCGTGAGTGCTGCAGGCGTGCCGCACAGTCTGGGTGCTCGATCTGTGTAATCTCCACACCATAAACCCTCTGTTACTGAGGGCACTTATGGAGCAAAGGACTTCATTTCTCCTCTAACAGAAGGCGAATCTGAAGTAGTAGTTCTTAACACCATCACAATAAGCCAGCAGCTTGCAGGACGTGTGTCTCTGTAAACATTTGTCTCTGAGCCATTTTTGGTCCTCGTAGCTGCTGGCGGGACACTGTTGGAGTCTGGTTGGGGAGGCCCTAAATGCCCCACTGTGCACATAGCATCCCCTCGTCAATCAATGATCTGACCCCGAATGCCCAGGGAGCTGTGGTCCATCACCCTCGAGACGCACTAATCTTCTGTAGGGATGGAAAGGAAGAGATGCCTGAGAAAAACCCAGGTTACCACTCGCTCTTTGATGTCAAATCATACGAATTTAAAAATATCATTCAATACCTTGCTGCAATCATCAGAACCATGTTTCAAAGCACTTAATGCCTTAAATGCTTCAAATGCTCTGAGACAAAGTACATTTTATCTCCATAAAATGAAGAGCAAAAAAAGTAGATCATTTAGCTCTATGAAAAATAGTTTTTTTTTTTCCTTAATGAAACAAAAATGTTATTAACTGGCTCAGTGAACAATGGCTTCTTTTATACCGAAACTGAGGAAATATCAATTTTTGCAACTGTTTCCCTTTAACCTCAATCTTACTGGTAGGCCTAAGCTGAACCTGTTCACCTTCAGGGGACACTTCTGTTTCTCATTTACCTTCCTTGGTCAAGGGGCTTCTTCAGCCTGATAAAGGTGATTTTAAAGTGTGGAAGGCTCATTTCAAACATCAGCAGCCAACAACAACGAGAAGGCAGCCATGTTCTCAATGTTCTTCCAACTCTATATCTAACCTCATGTTCTCCTTCTGATTTTTCTCCCTCTGTACCTCTACTTCAAGTAGTGTCCGTTTTTTTCCTGGTTTTCCTAAAAAGCTTGTTTTTTCCAAAAGTTCACCTTGCCCCACCTTCCCCCAAGCTCACGTCCTCGTCTGTGCCCAGGTTGTGTGGCCAGAGCCCAATCCCCCACTTGATGCCTTCGTGCTCGGCTCTCCAAGTGCTTGGCCAGGTGGCTTAGTACTGCCTG